TTTCTCCGCCTTTATCTCCCCTAAAGCCTTCTGTAGCTGTGCCTCGTGAAGCGCTGCTTGCTGTATGGCGGCCACTTCAAGGGTCAACACTATTGGCTGGCTTGCCATAACGCCAGTGGACTGACTCAGGGTCTGTGCAATCGTTGACCCTACGGTCCTTGAGCTGCTGGCCTGGGAACTCTGCTGCGCAGCAGTTGCCATGGCTGCTGAAGCAGCGGCTTTGCTTGCGAACGCCCTGCTGGCCCCTGCTGCCCTAGCTCTCCACTGCTGCTGCTGTCTCTCCCTAAGCTGGCGGAGCAGTAACCTGTCACCCTCGGGTCCTAATGCCACATGGGCTATAGGGCGTCTAGCTGATCGCAAGATCCTGTCGTCCTCGCTAGTGGTCTCCCTGTCACTCATAAGCTACAGAACTATACACAATCTGCACTAGGTCACACTCGATGCCTACCGCAGCGTAATGCACAGACCGATTTAAAATAATAAAAATAATCAATCAGTCCAACAGGTAGTCCAGATCCCTACAAACGAAACTATTTCTTTTTAGTTGACTAGTCCGCAAACAGAAAGCAAACAGTAATTTCTACCTATGCTGTCTGTCAGATGTGTTAATGGCTGTAACATCTAACTAATCAAAAATAACACTAGAATCATTTGTTGGGTCTGTTGGCAGAATGAAATTTTCCCGAACTTATCACCTGGAATCTACCCCTCCCTCAGTTCCTCTTGATGGTCACTTGACGTCAGTGTCCCTGAGCGATCCGAAACAGCGTGCATGTCTAAATGTGTGCACACGGCCCACCCCTGTGCCCCGAGTGTGTGCTGAGCTGCCCAGCCCTGCACTATTTTTACCCTCGCGTGCAGCAAGCCTTACACCGACCACCAGGTTGATCAGGAGGCGTTTAAGGACGACCCCCGAAGTCCTCAGGAAATAATTTAACGTCGCAAACAGGACGACGATCACAACCTGTGGAAGGTACCCCGCCGGTGCTTATTTATAGACGCCCGGTACTCGTCTCCCTGTAGGGCTGGCCTGCCCCTCATAACCCATCTAACAGCGTAGCTGCAGACAAAGGACAAAGCAGCAAAGCATGCGTGCTCTGCTCCCGGTGGGTTGGCATGGTGACCATGACCCAGTGCTTCGTCCAGGGCCCTTCAGATAGCTCCGCCCTCTCCTTCCAGATGCTCCACGTGAACAATGCCGACTCTCAAGGTTGAGCGCACTCGACTCCTCACATGAGAGGACTCTCAAGACAGAACACACATCCTCACGGTAAAAAGTGTCGAAGAAGGTAGATAAGGTTAGGTGCAACGCACCTCAAAATAGCTGCCCCCAACCACAGATATTCTCACCAGATGACTTGATGCCGACTGTGATGACCAATCGCTGCTTCGGCACAACCAGCATTACACCGCCGTTCCACCTCAGCATCAATCGCACATCAGATAGTTCTCATCACACTGCGAACACCCACTATACACCACGTAGCCTTCCTGGCGTTACCCCTCCCCTCCTGGGTTGCCCTACTTGCCTTCGCCCTCCTCACTACACACTCCCTACGGCCGCTCGCCCAGCAGACCACATGCATCTACCGCATAGGCAGAAGACAAGCGCCAGATTAGCCCACCGTACCACAGCTCCGATACCAAATTGCAAGGAACATGAGCGATAGCGAACTTCAGAAACCAAGCAGCATCATACACATGAGACCAGATAGTTGTGACCTCGAACCAAAAGCAGAATTGCAACATGAGTCCCACCAAATAAGAGCACCGCAAAAGCTCATAAGTGACAATGTTCGAATAGTCTCATCATCATCAACAAAGAACCAATGTCGACATCCTATCTGGCGCTCTGCGCCCAGACTAGAATTGCAGATCCTATCTAGCGTATCTACAATGCTGCTGGTGACGTCAACAGCTCCCCGAAGTATGAACAGATCTCGGCCAATGCCGTTCGCCTCAAGCACCAGGTATGTCTCTGGTATCACTCACAACCTCGATCCCCCACTCACAGATGCCACTTGCACCCAAGGACCACCATGCTCCCCATCCAGCAATGCAGCGCAGCTTGGCTATGGCTGCCTGCCTCTCCCTGCTCGCCCATGAGCGCGTGAGCCTGGCCAGCGTTAGGGCAGTATGCAGCCAGTGCCCGAATGCCGAATGCGGAGGCAGGCCCTTTCCTAAATGGAAGCGGCCTGCCTGCTGCGTGCAGCCTGGCTGTACCGGGCCTCGGCCCAGAAGCTTCCGGTAGGCCCCGGGAGGCTGAGCCCCAGTCTGGAGGAATCAGGCCTAGGGTCTGTAACAGTTACCCGAGCCCAAACCTCCGCAGCCTGTGTTGGGTCCATGTTGCGTATCTCGACCAGGGCCTGACTCAGATGCATTCGATAAAAGTAGCCAGGGCCTGGGCGCTTTCAACCAACTGGCGCGGCGCAACTGCCTGAATTTTCCCCAGTAGTGGGGTAGCCGAGAAAAGAGGCCTTCTGGCCTTGGTCGGGCCTGCCTTCACTTAGGGCGACCGACTGTGCTGATTGCAGGGTCAAGAAGGGGCCCATTGGGGCCTTATGCCTCGCACTATACTGAATGCATGCTCTTTTGTGGTGACCGTTCTTCTTTCATTTTGGCCCGCAATCGACATGCCATTTGTCGGGGGTGTATGGCGGGCATGCTCAATGCCACCCGTCGTGGCAATTGTTGCACTGAGAATGTTCAGCTAGGTCTTCCCTGTGTTCATCCACGTCATCCTTACAATGTATGTCCTCTCTGTTGTCAAGGACAGACTCATTCTTGATCCTTTTCTTATCCTCTTTTGCCTTCATCTTCACTCCACACTCCATACTTTCCGTTACTTTCCCTTTATCGTTCTTTGTTTGTCTGCTCTCCATCTCTTCTCCCTGTGTTTATCCCCTCCCCCTTCACTCTGCCTCTTTCTCACAGAGTATAAGTGGGCTGTTTTGGCACACAGGGATGGGGGCAACTCGCGCTCTAACTTCATCAACGTGGCGAGCCTTGTACGTGAGAGGCACGGTGAAAGGGGAGTCAAAAGAAGAATGAGAAAAGTGAATGGTTTCACTGTGCCCTTCATGTTTGTCCTATTTTTTTTTCAATTTTTAATTTTTAAATTTTGCCGTTTGTTTCATAAAAATTGCGCTCTTTTAGTTCATAGTTATGTGACAATATATATGATGAGTCGGTGAAACTCCGACGAAACAGTTTGTCACAGCCCCTCGTTTGTTGCCCTCTTCTCTCTCTCTGCCTACAGTTTACCGGGCAGCTCTGTTTGACGATCGTCAAACATATATACATGCTGTGCCTCTAGTGCCAGCGGCGTGTCTGGAGTGTATTTTTTGGCTGTGACAGACCTTTCTTTGTTTCGTGGGTGTTTTGCTGGCTTGTGATGGGGTGTGAACCGACAGTCT